AGATATGAATAAAGACAATTTATATTGTTATGTGAAGATACACTATCTCGTATCGAAATAATTAAAAAAAAACTTCATTATTAGCATATGTGTTATTCCAGACTATGGTTTCAGCAAAATATCAGCGAGATCCGTACAGCCGTTCTCGAGATTGCTTCAAATGATTCATTCGAACATTCGATAAAATTATACTATGCTAGCTGTCGCCCGCGACTTCGTCCGCGCGGTTTTATAAAATAGATAGTAGCCGATTCTGAGACCTACTCAATATGCTCACAAAATTTCATGAGAATCGGTCAAGCCGTTTCGGAGGAGTATGGGAACGAAAATTGTGACACGAGAATTTTATATATAAGATTAAACGTTTCGTAAAAACGTTTTCGCATCTATTTATATCGCGTTAAAAGCTTTACTTAAGTGAATATATAAAAAAGGATAACACAACTTAAACTGCCTTTAAGCACAAACTGAAACTGTACACATAATTATTGAAGTTACACAATAACTTACTGTAGAGGTCTTTTCAAATCTGCAACGCGTTACCCAACACGCTAAGTTAGGAACTCCATAATTTTTTTTGCATTTAGGGACATTTTCAGGATTACGTGCCTTTTAATATATCTGTCAGTCCTTAGTTATGTTTTAACTATTTTCGCTGACTTTTGACAAATAAAACGAAATGGTTATCCATATATCGGATATATCCATCAGTCCATGGGCATCAGCTCAATCGGGATGAATGTAAGGCGATCTGCTGCTCGTTTGCCCCTGTAAGTGACCTCCGTAGGTGTCCGAATTTGTGTATTTCTCTTTCTCCTACTTATATTCTTCTTCTTATTGTTGTACTCCCCTTCTTCTCATTTTTTGTGGACTGTGAATTGTGAATAAATTGTTGTGAATATAACAGTGGCCTCATTTCATCTGTTGCTGCACTCCCTTCACATCATCTTTCACACAGCCCCGCACAGAGGTGATACCACGTCGTACCCTCACCCCCTTATCTTACAAAAAAGATTAATTTCAAAATTAATGTGGTCGCTTATTGTGAAAGTTACTTAATGTTTCTAGTTTTCTCATTAATCTAATAGTAGCTTAAACGAAATGTTCAAGGAGTTTTTACACTTTAGCTGCCATTAAATCAAAAAAAGAAGAAATTAAAACTTTTGAATCTAGTAATGTCAGATCAGTTTTCTATGTCTTTTTGTTATTCATGATCTACAATATTAACACATTTTTCTGCAAACAAGGGTTTTTTATTTAAAGCCCTGTACACGAAACAAATGTAGTCTAAGAAATGAACATATGGAAATGTACGTACCTTAAATTCGAAGTTTGTTTTTTGTATAACAATGCTTGTTTAATTAATGAAAGCAAAATGAATAATGTTTTATTTTATTTACGCGTGTCCGTAGTCTTTATAATATATTGTGGTCATCCTATTGAAGGTAGCACTAATAGGCACTAAGTGCGTTGTGAGCGTGCTAAGTGTGAACTTAGAGTAACTTAGAACCCTGTACCGTTGCGGCGCGTGTGGCCTCAGCCTTTGTTCCTTACGTTACATAATGACCTTTTACTACCACATGGATGGCACGCTTTATCAATTATCATAGCGACTTACTGTGGGTTTCTGGAATCAAAATCCCAAAGATAATGCCAAGGATGTCTATGTTTTATGCACAGACTAGCTGTTGCCCGTGACTTCTTCTATGCGGAAATAAAAAAAAAACTTAATGTGTAGCTATGTGTTCTTCCAGACTATGTTCTACATATATTCCAAATTTCATCAAGATCCATCCATCCATCTAAACATTCGAGTTTATAATATTAGTAAGAAGTAAGATTAGTAAGATTTTGGTCTCAGAAAACCATGGTTAGTGGTGACTATATGTATGTATAAAAAATACATTATGCTAATGTTATTTTGATATGTTTTTATATGTCATGAATGCGTAAATAATTTTAATATGAGTAATCTTACGTTTAAAGACTAATCTATATTAGTTGTTTATTTTTCCAAAGTGCATACATTGCTTATGCTGTTTGATTACTAACGTTCAAGAACAATATCAGAGAAACAAAAGCATATCACCCTTTAAGGATTTTAAATTAAGATTTCATTTTTTTTTTTATATCATAAGGTGGCAAACGAGCGAGCGGCCACCTGAAATCGCTGATATAGCGAAGCGACCGTTGCCCATAGACATACGCAATTGCATATGCGTTGCCTACCTTTAATCGACGGAGGATGCACAGAAAGAAAATATATTCCCTTTCCATGCATTCTCTCATCCGGAAAGTCCATTTCCACTTCCCATCCTTTCCTTATAAGAAAAAGGGTGGGAAGGGAAAGAGGACTAAATTAAGCCTCTGGGACGCACACTCATCAGACGAAACGCAAAATTGCTTCCACGTGACGCCTGTCTTCTGTGTGGTCGTGGTATTTCACCGGGCGGACCGGGCCAAACCCGCAAAAGGCCCGCTAACTTATTTACAACAGTTATATTTCACAGGCAAGCATCACGAAAATAAAATTTGAAAGTGCAATTACTACTTATTAGTAATAGACGAAGAAAAAGGCAAATGCGATATTTTTCTAAACTGTATCATTTTTACGCAAAAGGGATAAAGTTCTACAACTTTTAGAAATTTTTTTAGAAATTCACTTATGTAATTTAGCATAAGGAATATATAAAACAAAATGTGCTATACATGAGTCTAGATAACGTTTAAAAAAGCCTAGTGTTTATGTTTCTCGGGATAGACTAATTCGTTTTTACCATGTAGGCATAACCTACAAACAAATCCTAGTTAATGTACTAATGTCATTGTTGGTATCTGGATGAGTAATCTGCAAGTACCAGGGTATCATGAGTGCGGGGGCGTTTACATCCACGACGCGAGTCACAACAATCCTACGAGATTTATTTCATCCCACCCGCAGTCATGAAGTCTTCTTGAATTAGTTATTTTAAGAAATTATTTTTTTTAATGATTTGGAGGGATTGGCGCGCTTTTTATCAAAAGTCAAATGTCAGATGTAGTGAGGGGATGTAAGCGTTGATATTTTTGTCGGTGTAGTGTTGTACCGCTACACCGGCATATTGTCGTTTTTTTTTTAAATTATAGACTCATTTTAATTATTAAAAATTATTTTACGATAATGTAGGTTCATATTTAATTGAAAGTACATTGGTTATATCGTTTTCTTAATCAACTTATTATTTATTAAATAAAAAAAGATACACAGAGTAATAAATTTTAATTACAATCAAATGTCATTTTACAAATGTGCGATATCCCATTTATGTACCCATTAAAGTGATTTACACAAAATAAATATAATTTTTAATCCAATGAATAAAAAAACATGACATCGTTGCAGGGGATTTGAGGTTATAGTAAATCATGGTGTTTTCTATAAAAATTTGAATTTATTTCCAATTCAATTAGAATGAGAATTATGTGGGCAATGTTGTAAGTAAATAAATAAAGAATTATTGTATCTGTTCATGTAAAATTATGCATCTAGATGTTGCAATGGACCATAGATATTTGACACATTATCTTGTCTTTACTTCTTAAGACCTTATCTTAAAGATAAGTGGGTTTTATTTAATTCTATAGTTGGTTGTTTAATTTACTGCATTTTGGATCTTTGAAGATTCTAATTATTTTCAATCGAGATAAAGTAGATAATTAATTAAATTATAAAAGACTGGCTGTTTCCCGCGAATTTATCCGTATGTAAAAAAAAAAAAAACTTAGTAAGTTGCCTATGTGTTCTTCCAGATTATGTTCTACATCTATGTCAAATTACGAGATCCGTTGAATCGTTCTGGTGATACCTTCTAACATCCATCCATCCAAACATTCGCATTTAATATATTAGTAAGATTAGACATTAAGAAGATGACAGTGACAAGACCGCGTTACAATCATGCGGGTCGGGCCATTGACCCAGAATCCCTCACTCCGTATGGCCTTTTAATTTGAACAAGTGCAATGCATTAAACGCACTTACGATTATCATCCTTATCGCATGTACTTACAGGCTATAATTGTATGTTAAAATATCAAACACTCCACACCCTAACACTATGGTATTGATATTTTACGAGTATAGTAACGAAACAATTATACCAACTGTTCAATAATTGCTTTAAAAATAAATTGACCGTGAATTGGCTTGTTTATAGTTTAAAAATAAATTTCTATTAGTTCTGTAACTTCTTAAGCCCTGTTTAAAACATATTGTCATCTCTGTTTTGTCAAAGATAATGACAGGGATGACGATATTTTGAAATGTACGAAACGAAAGGCTTATGTTAAAATGGATGGACGTTTGTTTTAAGGTATCTCCAAAACGGCTCAACGGATTTGGATGAAATTTGGCATAGACGTAGAATGTAGTCTGGAAGAAAACATAGGCTACTTGATTTTTTTTAATTCTGTGCGGTCGGAGTTGCGGGCGTTAGCTAGTAAGTTATAAATAATTACAAATTTGAATAAGAAAGGAAGGAACGGACGAATGATAAGAGATTGACTGAATTTTTTAACGTGGAAAAAACAAGTTATTAGTTTTATTAAGACGTTGCGTAAGTTGTAACAGTGATAGAGCCCGCTTTAACATCTTCGCACCAATCGGCCCGGCTCGCCCGGTGAAATACCACGACCACACAGACGACAGGCGTGAAGTGGAAGTAATTTCGCGTTTCGTCTGAAGAGTGTGCGTCCCACCCTTTTTCTTTTATGGAAAGGATGGGAAGTGGAAGTAGACTTTCCGGATGAGAGGATGCATGGGAAGGGAAAATATTTTCTTTCTGTGCATCCTCTCCTCCGTCGATTAAAAGTAGGCAACGCATATGCAATTGCGTATGTCTATGGGCAACGGTCACTTCGCTACTTCAGCGATTTCAGGTGGCCGCTCGTTTGTTTGCCACCTTATGATATAAAAAAAAGTTATCTAAAGTATAAAAGGTTAATGGTAATAAAACAAATAATTAAAATCATCAAATCATTTTATTTAATTCACATAGACGTACAGTCAGAAATATTAAAATATTTACAACACTACAACAAACTAGGCGAAGAATTCATTAAATCTAAATGCGAAGGAATGTTATTGTTCCAGTCGTTTACAAAAGACGTAGTCAAATAACCCTTGGATTCTACTGCTGATATATCCAAACACAACATACTGTCATCTCTTTCACTCTCAACGAAAAAGACTGAGATGACAATATATTTGGTACGTATTCAGAGAAAGCCAAAACAAACAGATAGGTGGGCAAAAAATGTCATAATTTCGTATTTAAAATTATAGACTAATCCTCACATTAATATCACTTAAGACTAGACAGGTACTGTACAATAAATACTTTCGAAGGTCCTTAAATTAATTAATTACAATTTAAATTAATAATAAATAAATCGTAAGTAGAATTATGACCCATTTTGTTCTATTAATGATATATTCCACATTGATCAAACAGGTGATACGAGTATCATCTACATGATCCAAGTGGAATAAACCTTTATACTATTACTACTATTTTTTATATTATTCAGAAAAATATGAAGCTTTATTACAATTTGACTATTTCATATTACTGTAAATATATTTACTATTGTAAAGAATCAGCCACGCGACTTTAATAACACGGGATTGTAATTACAAACAGCAACGACTGCGCCAGTGGAATAAGGCTCTTCATACACAAGGCAACGTATCCTCGAAACTACAACTTTATAGAGGCTTGTACAGAGCACGCGTTGACATTTCTATGTTTGTCAAAAATTTCAAGATGGCGGATCATATTTATTTGACATGTAATGCCTTTACCAGAATAGACAACGTGCGTCGACGATTCGCGATGCTATATAATATTAGTTTCGACGATTTATATTGCCTTGTGTACGAAGGGCCTTAGACATGGAAACTAGAACTATGTTTGCAAGCACTATTCATTTAACGCACCAAACTACATTTGTAAATTATTAACATTATGTGTCTATTATCTAGGAGAAACTACGATAGAATCTATATTTTAGCTAGTAATCTTTATTTGTCATGGCAAAAAAATCTTTTATCTATGTTTCGTTCTAAAAGTTTTAAATATATTTCAACTGTCAAATTTTCAATTTAAATAATAATTACTTTTTATGTCTACAAAAGTCTTAACATCTTCAAATTTATAAATATAATGTTTCAAACATCTTCACTGGATAAATAAAATATCATGAAGTATTTAAATAAATAAATACTTAAGACAATAATGAGAAAAAGCGGGAAAAAATGACGGAAGATTACAATTTTTCTTGTCACGTACGAGGTACGAGTTTGCCAAATTAAGCACGGATACAGAAACATATTGTCATCTCCCTTATTCCCTTTAACAAAAATAGAGATAGCAATAGTTTTCAAACAAATGCTTTAATTGAAAAAATTCAATCTTCATAATAATTTTTGTTTACGTTGTAAATTGCATTGTTACGATATTTTATGCCTATTAATGATTTAACCACGTTTGCAGTTATTTTAACCCAAATAAACATCACTTTTATATAATAAATAAAGTACAATTTTATTATTTTGCAGTTTTTGTTGAAATTCTTTTATCGAATTTCGTAATTTCTTGTAAGTAGATTTCCTGACAAAGCTTATAATGATATGCGTTTCAATCTACGCAGTAAAAGTATAAAATATGAACTCACAAATTGATTTAATTACACGCAGAATATCTTTATAAACACTAAATTATTACTAAAGCTCTATTTGTCAAACATGTTTTCATATCTTTACATTACTTTGCTCGGCTTTACAAGAAAAATGAAATATTGTCTTTGAAAACTAATCTTCTATTATCTACTAAAATATCGTCGTTACTTTTCTTCTTTCACATCCACTTTTGTCTCTTCACCGACCATTTTATTTTATACTTGTCACTTCGATTTAAGATCATTGTTAGCTGCCACAAATCACTTGAACTACTAGGGTACTACGAACTTCACTACGTGTTCCATTTAAGACCGCTGTCTAGAGGTCAGGTAAATCTGGTCAAAGTAATCTCTTAATGATCAAACTGACGATATCTACCACCACTCTTCAAACGATCGCACGTTTAGACGTCTCGCTAGTTTAGACCGACTGGTCCAAGACAAGACCGTGTGGTCTAGACTGACTCGGGCTAGGGGACCACGACCCGTGGCTCGCTGGCCAGCAACCGTCGCACCGATTGATGGTTGTTGCCGTCACTGCTGCTGATATCACTTGTGCTTACAACTGACGGTTGCGAGAAGTTCTTGCACAGAACTAGCACCTGTAAATAAAAAGCCGTTAAGTTGGTTAAAAAAATATTAAAGTCGATGGTACAAACATTGTAAAATCTGGCTTGAATCAAAGATAGGACGAGGAAGTCTTGTACTAACCGTATAGAGAACAGTAAGAAAACCCATCACAGCTCCAGCGAGTACATCCCACCAGTGATGACGTCGGTCAGTGAGGCGGGACAGCGCGCATACCGCAGCGTACAGGACCGCCAATGTCTGGAGTAGGGGTACCACCAGCACTGACCTGCTGCGCCAGCTGAACGCTCTCCGTTGCAAGTACCACTATGAACATACAAACTCGTAAGTAATAGCACAACGAAATAAATGACAGTGCCAAAGACACTGTTGGTTGAACAGACAGTACAAAGCAGCACGACTCCACAAAATACAAAACAGTGACATAAAAGGAGCATATAGAGGAAGAGACTGCTAACGAAGAGAATCACGAACGCATAGACTAAATACAGGAAAACGCAGGAGTAAAGATCTAAAATAAACTGTAGTCAAAGCAATAGGACAGCAGAAATTAGCAGTGGTGACATTTATTTCTAAAGTCGAATCGACCCCACTGGGGAAAGTTTATTAACAAGAAACACGTTTATCAAGAAGACAGACGTGAAACAGATTGGCGATTGCATTTGAATGAAGAGTAAATCTAGAATCGGTACTTACAGCTATGAAGAACCCGCAGTAGATAGAGAGAGACGCGTGCGCAGACGGGAAGCTCCGACTGGAATCGATCTGAAGATATCTCGAGTACTTGGTTGAGGTGCAAGTGTAGCTACTGACATACTCCGAACTAAACATAAAGAAACAACATATTTAAAAAAGTATTCATAACACAAATTTTGAATGATTACAATAATTTGAGAAATTCTTTTAAGTAATTTCAGCATGACTTACTTATTGCAAGTCCTCGCTTTATCCGGCTGACATAAATCAAAGAAGGTCGGTCTGGGCGAGCCAACCACGCACTTGACAACTTCCAGTACAGTCAAATTGACTACAGAGCCGTAAATATAGTCTCTATACATGAGAGACGCGGTCTTTGCACTTGAGATCAGTTTGTTCTTCTTCATCGTGTACTCATCATCTTGGTGGAGTATTGTCTCCACTCCCCACATCTAAAACAAATAAATATCTACAATATATCTTACTAATATTATAAATGCGAATGTTTGGATGTATAGAAGGATGGATGGTTGCATGGATGGAAGTTTTTAAAAAGTATCTCCAGAATAAATGAACAGATCTTGCTGAATTTTCGCATTGATGTAGAACATAGCCTACTGATTATTTTTCGCGCGAATGGATTCCCGGACATATAAGCAAGTTGAAAGATATCCTCAAAAGTGACTTAAGGAGAAGATATTCATCCAAGAAGATAATACATCCACGTATATTACTTACAACAAGGAAAGGAACGATGACTGTGATGGCAGCAACAAAGGATATAGAGAAGGTATCCCCGGTGTGCGGGTAGGCGAGCGCCGGGTCGTTGCATGTGAACCCGCCGCGTCGGCTCGGCAGCGCCCCCACCTCCAATAATATACAAATCGCCGCAACTGTAGACAAAGAAACGTAGATTAAAAAAAAAAGAAACAAATCACACTTCATACTAATGTTTAGATGCGGCTTAACGGATCTTGATAAAATTTGGCACAAATGTGGAACATAGTCTGGAACACATAGACTATTCATTTTTTTTTGATTTCAGTTGGACGACGTCTCGATCAGCTAATTAAATATATCTACGAAACTAGTAGACAGAGATGAGACAACGGCGATTAAAACGAAAGGGGTGGTCAGAGGTGGTCAATACGCTTAGATACTACGACTACGACTTCTAGCCATTTACTAAATCATTGCAAGAGTTAATTCTATGTTTTAATAATAAAATCTTCGACATAACTAGTTTTCCAATTAGGTATAATAAATGGTCCAAAATTGGTCCTAAGTTATCGCGTTGTGCGACACCAATGAATGCTGAATTTGAAATCAAATTAACTCTCAGGAACAGCTTACATTCCATTTGTCAAATAAATTATAAACCAGTTGTAAATGACATAGCATTTCTGTTATTTTGTTACTTACATTTAGTTCATTTTAATCAATGTGCAGGATGAAATATATAATAATTGTTATGTACCTCAAAGTCTTTTTTCTGAGTATAACTTAGATTATTTATATAAATGCGAATGTTAGGATGGATCGATGTTAGTAAGAAGGTATCTAATTTGGCATAGATTTAGAATATAGTCTAGAACAGAGGTTCCCAAATTTATTTTGTCTACTGCCCACTTTGAGAATAAAAATTTTTAGCGCCCCCATATTTTCACATATTTAAAAACCACTATAACTTCAAATTAAATTAACGGAGAATTCTGTAACCCGCAACTTAAGACCTGCAGCGCCCACAAGGGGGCGTTATCGCCCACTTTGGGAAAGACTGGTCTAAAAGAACACATAGTCTACTAATTAAGTTTTTTAATTCTTTGCGGACGGAGTCGTGACAGCCAGTACAAGATATGAAAATACTTCGACACTGGATGCTGGAATACAAGTAGTCAGTTGCAGCGATTTATCAAAAACAAAAGGTCATTATTATGGTCCTTCAGAGAGTTCATTAAATCTATTTAGCCACGGATCACAATATAACACGTGACATACGAAGTAAAAATGTTTCACACATAATTTCAAAAGAATTGGCGTGCATGAATAATTAACGTCATTTAGCCGTGTGACCGGCTTCTAACAATACTTTTGGCTTTAGAATTATCAACGCCAATCAACCGTCCGAACAATTATAAACAGTAATTGCTCAGACACAAAATACATTTAAACAAATGAGCGAGACATGCCCGTCAGACATGGAATGTTTATTATTAATTTTAACATTTTAACTAACCTTTTTGTAATTGTATAACCAAAAATAAAAGACTAGCTGACAACGATAAAACTTAATTAGTAGCCTATATGTTCTTTCAAACTATTTTCTACATCTGTGCTAAATTTCATCAAGATCCGATGAGCCGTTACGGAGATAACAACCAAAAATCACACATCTATCAATATTAGTAAAATTTCCCTCCAAATGTGTTCAAAATCTAACGGTAATATGAATAAAATAAATATCAGCTATGATAGTTTTTTGTTTTGTTAATCTGTAGTAATTTTATTCATCTATCCATTTAAATTTAGAACACCATAAAAGAGGTTTGGAGTTCCAAAACCTCTTTTGACTCGAACCTGTGCTGTTGTACGATGTAATAAACACTTGTTAAATTTATGGTATTAAATTACAAATTAGAATGAAACCCTACCGGAATGTTAGCAGACTAAACCACCCTTTGTTCCGGTAGCTAGTAGGGTGGTAACCCAGCCGGAAAAGATACGCTTTTAAATATCAAATAACTGTTACGTTTGAAGTTACGTAACCAAATTGGCTGTAACAATCGAACACTAACCGTGGATTTCTAGACTAATATTTCTGTATAAAATATGTTGTCATTCCTGTGATTAACTTTGACAAAAAAGAAATAACAATATGTTTTAAACGGAGGAACTCAGAAACCCACAGTTAACGATTTTACTTAAAAATACAGTAAGATATTATGTTACTAATTATTATCTTTACATTTTTGAATCAGTTGTCCTGAAGATGGATTAAAACTAGATAGAAATAATGTGACTAAACTCATTAAAAAAATTTTGCTATTTTAAAATTGAAGGTACTAAAACTCCTTATCATGTAATCGTCATAAGGGCCTAAGCCTTGCCTAATATTACCTCAAGGGTCATCTGATTAGCTGTCGCAGCATTTTCCTACAAGACGTTGTATTCCTTTTTGAGTATTGTTGCGCAAGAAATCCTTGCAGTAGTTGTGATATTCATGTGCCGTCATCAATCATTAAGATCGATGCTAGCTGACAGTTTACTGGTCTACTAGACCATTAATGGTCAGCTAATACATTTTATGAAGTAAATCGTATACTAGTTATGCCTGCAACTCTGTCCGCGTAGAATTAAAAATAAAATTATATAGTAGTCTATGTGTTCTTCCACACTATGTCATACAACTATCCCATACATACATTCAGACATTCGCATTTATATTAGTAAGATAAGATTTAACAGTGGTAGAGCCCGCTTTAACATCTTCGCACGAAATGGCCCGGCTCGCCCGGTGAAATACCACGACCACACAGAAGACAGCCGTGAAGTGAAAGCAATTCCGCGTTTCGTCTGATGAGTGTGCGTCCCGAAGGCCTAATTTAGTCCTCTTTCCCTTCCCACCTTTTTTCTTATGGAGAAGAGATGGGAAGTACAAGTGGACTTTCCGGATGAGAGGATGCATGGAAGGGAAATATATTTTTCTTTCTGTGCATCCCCTCCTCCGTCAATCAAAGGTAGGCAACGTATATGCGATTGCGTATGTGTATGGGCAACGGTCACTTCGCTATTTCAGCGATTTCAGGTGACCGCTCGCTCGTTTGCCACATTATAATACAAAAAAAAGCATAATGTTGAATGTATTCTCGTTTTATTAAGCTTTTGTCTATTGAAATATTTTAATTATTATTTTGAGTTGGTTCATCATAAGCTTACTATACGTCTTCACTAAGAGGCTCTGAGCCTACGATAACTTAGGGGTGACTAGGGCATAGTCAACGCTAGCCCAGTGCGGTTTGACTTCACACATATCTTTGATTTTTTTTTCTTTTACGGTTAAATAATTAAATTTATTTCATCACCATCATATTCAGTGTATTAGACTCTAAAATTTATTGAGTTTTGTAATGTGTATTCGTTTCTTTTACCGGAACAATATTGATTTCAAAACAGTTGTTATGTTTGTAAATATACGCTGGTATGCTAGCCAGTTAACTGAACGAATCAGTACAGATTATACTCTACTAATTTTTGGTTTCTGAGACAAAAATCTCTGTATAAAAGTTACCGTTAGCCCTGTCATTGACAAAACAAAGATAAAAATATGTTTTTAGCCGACTTCAAAAAGGAGGAGGTTATCAATTCGTCTGTATGTTTTTTATGTGTGTTAAGAAGTAACTCCGCCCCTGGTACTCCGATTATGATTTTTTTTTGATCGAAAAATTTTGCTAGCAGGTGGGTCCTATTTTTTTTAACGAAGATTTTGGTCTCAGAAATCCACAGTAAACATGTATATTTACACATACAATTTTTTGACTCAATTGTAAACTATTTAAGTATTAGTCTATTAAACTACAATCTATATATCACAAGCTGTCGCCCGCGACTCCGTCCGCGCGGGATTAAAAATAGATGTTGGCCGATTCTCAGACCTACTCAATATGCTCACAAAATTTCATGAGAATCGGTCAAGCCGTTTCGGAAGAGTATGGGAACGAAAATTGTGACACGATAATATTATATATAAGATGTTGTACTTGTTACAATTTGAAAAATGATTTTTTTTTATTATTTTTTTAATTTTCGTCTCTTTTGTCATTAGGCTTTTATTTCTCACGGCTGTTATTTGATTTAACGTATGTTATTCAATTAATTTCCCATCATTTCACTTAAGACAACCAAAACATACCAAACAACTTTCTATGTTATCACGTAACTGCCTTAATCGATTAATATGTTGTATGTACATAAGTACCGTAGCAAATTATATTACACTAGCTGACGACCGCGACTCCGTCTGCGCGAAATAAAATAATTAGTAGTCTATGTTCTTCCAGGCATGTTTTACATTTATGCTAAATTTCGGTGAGAATCATTTAGTCATGGAGTCAGTCGTATTTCATAACGAAGTTCAAAAATGTATAGAGCTGTCAATAACTTTCGAGAAGTCACGTGATTGTCGCGCTTCAGTTCGATACATTTTTGAAGTTCTTTACGGAACCGCTTCGGAGCGAATGCACTTTGTCTAGTCCCGCTGGATACATTTTGTAAATACAAAATGAATTTTATATTCTATTCATTGATGAATCATCGTATAATTGTGTCTATTAGAGAAAGCTTAAAGTTGACAAAAAGTCGCGTAGGCGAAACAATTAAGGGCACGGGCACAGTGAGTGCGGGAGCGTACAACTGTTGACATAACGAACCATTGATTGACAACTTATAAATCAATATTTCAATATCTACCAATTAGATAAAAGAAATTTTATTTTTTTTTACAGGAGAAGGGCCAAACGAGGAAAGAATCGCCTAAAATTATTTAATCCGACGCTCATAGACATCCTTTAAGTGACTGTACGCTCTTTTCTTGAAGTAGAACTTGAAGAAGTCTTGCCCCTAAGTCGTAACTGTTTGGAAATACCGCTGAGGACAGGGAGGGCCACAACGCGGCATATGTGGGCATTTCATTTTTAGTTAAGACAACAAATTATAATTGTGTTTAATAGTTCTCGTAATTATGGCTTAATCGTTAAAAATGTAAAAAAACATGAAATTTAAACGTAGTTTACAAATAGGTTGTTGAAATTTCAATAGCGTAATGTAGGGATTTCCAATCACGAGGTCGAGAGTTTGTTTTAGCACAACCATAGAGCTTATTTGGAATCGTACAAGA